GGGGGGGGGTTTCGACCTGAAAAATCAGGGGTTAGGATTTGCACCCGGTCGAAAGAAACCTTGCTATCGCAAGAGTAACTCCAGCTAGCTTCGCTAGCTTTCGTGAATAATAGAATTAATCAGAGTGAAACATGAAAGGTCTCGATCAGTTAGAACCGCTTGGGGCACGGTCTGCATAATGTGCCATCAGGGGTACTCAGAAAAATAGGTGGACGTCTCCACCACTGATAAACGGCACTTCGACAACAAGTCGAATAGCATGAGCGGTCAAGGTTCCAAAATGTGGCGTCAGTCTTTTTCAAGCAAGCGCTGCCAAAAACTAGGCAAGCAAGCGCCGCACAGTCTGTCACGCGCTCAACCTGCCAGCGCACTGGCGCTGATGTGGCGAGTGACTTATTGTGACAGTGACCTGCACACTTCGAGCTACATCCGGCAAAACACGTTCTGCCCCTGCTGTCAAGTAACTTTATTTGATGGAGCCCAGCAGTGGCCACGTCGCGCCACACCAAGCTGCAAAACATGCATTGCAACCAGGGACTCGGTTTCTACTCCTGAAGGAAGAAATGAGATTTCAGTTGCTCCCTTTCCAGTCACACCCCCCCAAAAGTCACGCATCTTTATGATTGGTTCATGTCAAAATTGGGCAGGTGTAATGTTATTTATATATATAATATACACCTTTCGCTTTTGCACACGTGACCTCGCGAATCAGGAAATATTGTTTTCTAACATGGTTTCTCTATATGCCGTTCCCAAGCAGCTGGAGGCTATAGGAATAAGTACAGACTTTACCGCCATTCAACTATTTGACGCCAACAAATCATGCCGAAGCTGTTTGGGGTCTATGCTGGCATAATCAATTTTACTTATATTGATGTGTTTGAATTACCTTCAAAAGTGTTTGTGATATGCCTGAATAGTGTTTGGTGAGCTGGCTTGTGCTACTAGGAGTCCGTTGAGGCCTGTGCATTTCTTGAATGACTCATTGTTTCCTCCACAAGCCCTAGTTGAATTGCTTGGCAAGCTCTTTGAACTCACTCCAGGCTTCTCATCAGCGCCTGCCAGGACCTTGTCGGTGTGATGCTTGCCAAGTCTTGAGTCTTCACACCGCAGCAATGCACTGGAAAGAACGGGCGGCCTGCAATTTCAAGAAGCTCTTGGGGTGGTTTTTGCCTTAAGTCGAAACAGTGACTTTTCAAGAAGGCACAGAAAATATGGTGGACCATGGCCTATGCTAGCTAAGCCAACAACCCAACGTCTCGCATGGCCTTGCGCATGAGCGACAAAACTGGATGGAAAACTTGGACTGTGAATCGTTGAGCCTTGCTGATGGCTCGCGCCATCCGGATCATATCCGGTGTGTATGCATCAGCCGGAAAAAAGGTAACGGCTGTGCCAGTAGCACTTCCACCTGGAGTCCATGAACGACATAAACAAAAGGCCACCATGCAACGCTTCGCCGGCTGAGCACACCACGCCCTGTCCGCCCAATGCGATGGATGTAATCTTCGACGGTTTTGGGAACATCCTCAGAAATGAATACATTTCTGTCGAAGTTTCAAAAAGAAAAACCTTGGCACCGGACATAGTTTACCACATAGTTGACATCTTTGATGTCGAGGCCTCTTTGTGCTACGTCGGTGGCAATAAGAATGTTGCAACCTCGATGCCGTTCGTTGCACCAATTCTGTCGGGAAAAGACAGTTCATCTTCACCACTCCGAATCTCAGTGGTGAGACAATCAACAACTGACAATCAACACTTGTGTGGAACCCACCCTGGTTGACGCGAAAGTGCGCAATGAACATGGCTGATTTTAGAGGGGTCTGGGCATGTTTGGGCTCCATAACAAGACCTCGACACATGGGTTATTGTTGCTTTGCGACGAAGACCGTTTGCAAATGCAAAAAGAGAAAATAAGAGATCTATGTACTTGCCTGAGGATTCTCATCTTGTTTGCAGCTTCAATGCCATCAAACAGTGTCAGAACTGTTTCGCATGTGTGTCCGTACCCAACTCTGACCCGAAGAGCTTGTTAAGATCTGCAGCTTTTGGATTTGTAAAAATGAACTTTGGAGCTTTCTGGTTGGATTCAAGTTGTCTTTGCCTTCGTTCCAGGTCGGGATACCATACACATGACTTAAAGTGGCTTAAGACCTCTTCTGAACAACTCATTCCAGAATATCGAAATTTGCGGTATGAAGCCACAAAGGTCAAAGTTTGCCAGGAGAACACGCTCCCCATACTGAACGGGAAATGACTGACGTAAGACCTTTGCCTACTAGCGATGGAATCTTGAAAATTATGAAGCTTTGTTGGAAACCGTAACCCGAAGTGAGTAGCAACAGATCTAAATTGGAGAGAAGATGGTGAAGGAAATCCAAGCACTCTTATCTTGGAGCACACTCAAGAGAAGTTCAGGAGACGGTTTGCTTTCTGGACAAAGAATCATCACTTTTACACTGTCTACTTTGATGCACCTTTTCTGCAGAATGCCTACTATTCACACTCTTCACTTGAAATGTCTACTTGCCTGTACTTTCCTGTAGACAAGTTACTTTTCTCGACAAGCCTCTACTTTTCCATACTTTTCGCTGCACAGCTCTACTTACTTGTCTCCAGAAACCTTTACATGGCTGTACCTTTCTCTGGTTTCCTCTACTTTACTTGTTTCCAATTTTCGCTGACAATGCCTGGAAATCTATACTCCGCTTGTCCAGAACTCTCTACTTTTCTCAATCTCTACCTCACACAGCCACAGTGCATTCAACTGTCCCATTCAGTTCAATTGATTCCACCCACACAAAATTCCGCCAAAAGACTTCACAGCCATCACCAGCATGGCACCAGCCATGCCAACAGTATGCCCAATTCAATAAACACAATGAACTAGGTATTGTATTCAAGCTGAGCACGTTTCGGGACATGTTTGTGAATCAAGGAAATTCTTCCGTTCTGGTTTCGTCGTTTTGAGTAGATTCCACACGTCGTTGGCTCTGGGCAGGTTGGAAGTGACATGCTTTGCCGTTTCGGGAAAGGTCAATTGGAAACGGTGAAGTACCAAGCCTTCCACGTTATCTTAATGACCCAGCGAATAGAAATCTTCCAAGACAGAGACTCTGTCGGAGCGGGCCACACTCTCTTGGATCGGGCAACACAAGCTTGGGGACTTGCTCACAGTGAAGCGGTAGATGGGGCTATCCGAAGTGATTACAGTAATTACAGTACCCCTCTTGAACGGACCTGTCATGCGACACACACCCCAAACCCGATTTGGCCGTCGATGCCACACCCAAACACCAACGGTCACCAACTTCAAAAATGAACAAATCAGACCACGAGTGGTTGGGTTGTTCTGAAATGCACACCACTTGTTCCAGACCTATAACCAATGACATCACAGAAACAGCAGCAACCACAACCCTAAGAGCAGCAAACCAAGAACACGAGAAGCACCAAAGCTACGGCAAAAGGGAGGGTTGAACGTGCAAGCTTGAGTAACGAAGCAAGAGGTTTAAGTATCGTTTACAAGGAAACGATATGAAACGATGAACAAAAAGTAAGAGGTTTGAGCCTTGACATGGCTCTGACCCCTTGTTCAACTCGTTTTTCTAGACTCTAAGCCAAAGGGCTGCAAGCAGGATTGGAGTGCATTTCACAACAAACAACTCACCCATCGTGATCTTTGCTGATGCTGCAAAGCAACACCCAGGGCCTGCCCAGTCCAATGACAAGCATAACAACGAACACAATCTCAACACCAAACACAAGCTCAACAGGTCTGTTCAGCTAGGGGCCTGACGTACGGGTCCCGCTGTGGAACTAGTTTGACCCAGTGCCCCAGTGTCCCACCCGTGGCCCATCAGTGTCTTGCCACCCTAGCAAACAAGCAGCCTCACACTGAACGTAACACCTGACAACCCACAATCATAATTACAAACGACTGCATGACACGCAAAAAATGACACCAAACGTAACCACAACACACAGCACTTGACAATAGGCAAACACAACAAGCAACAAACAATGACACAACTAGTGGCAACACCAAACACAGAAAACGCGACAACGCACCTGGGTAAACAGGGCAACAAACGACAATGTTCCGGTCCCCTTGTCGCACAACCCGAGGCCACGCAAGCACAAGGGGTTCGCATGCTGCTACTTCTTTCACTTGGAGTGCATGAGCCGCCAAACGTTTCTGGAGAACATCTCAAGTGATTCATACACGAAAAAGCCTGTGCTCGGCCATTGCTTTCAACACAGTTGCAATCCGCGGGCCCACGTGTGCTTTTCGTGGAGGCATCCGACCCATTTTGTTGATTCTGCGCAAGCTGCGTTTCAAACGGAACCACCCAACGATCCACTCACCCTAAAAAGAACCTTGTGTCGCTGTGCTATGGAGATTCGCTGTCGCTATGTGCGCTGTGCTATGGGTCCGGAAGGAACAAGGACACGACGGACAACACCAGACGTAACACACCGAAGAATCACCTAAGGGCTATGCCCGGCTATGCCCCACCCAAACCTGGTCGGGTGGTGGCTTGAAGAAGATAAGGCACTTGTTCCTAGTAGCGATGCACTTGTTTCTACTAGCTTCTTGTTACTACTAGTAAGGCACTTGTTCCTAGTAGCGTGGCACCTGTTACTAATAGCTTCTTGTTACTACTAGTAAGGCATAGTTCCTTTGGTTCCTAGATTAAACTAAAGCACCATCTCACTGCGCAGGACGAATCCTTGTCTATGCTCTTTCCCCAGATCACTAGGCGGCTCCACCTACCTCAGGACAAGATTTCTTCACCTAGGAACATTAGCTCTGCAGCTCGATCCCACTCCCTAAAGGATACATAGCGCTCTAAAGCGCTTTGGAAACCCATGTTGCAACCGATTAAAACTGAAGGGACCGAATCCTTGGTTTCCACTTCGCCGTAACAAGTGGACACCAAACATAACCCGGATCTCAAGCTGCAAGCGGTCACTTAATCCTCAGCATCATTATGTTTACGACCAGTTCGACAAAACTGTGTTGCAAAATCAAAAGTGCATCTATATAGTGGTTTGACGTGAAATATAACGCCACCACTCCAGACCCTCCGAATGGCTTCCGTCGGTCGTCCGGTGGTTGTGACGGGCTTTGGCAAACGAGAGTTTCAAGCAAAGAAAATACAATATACAAACGAAACAAATACGGTATATAATTACAAAGGATTAATTAATACGGCAATTACAAAGTTTCAACAGTCGGTACCAGCGCGGGCCGAACACAAAAATACTCGACTGGATCAGGGTGGTTGTGCCATGTCAGGCCACTGTTGCTGCTGTTGTTGGGTTGTTCTAGATTGGAGGCCATCGCTCTTTGTTATTTTTGTTGCTTTTTGTATTTGCTCTTGTTTGCATTCTGGTGGAATTCGTGGCGGTTGTGGGTGTGGAGGTGGTGGTGGCGGTCGTGTGGTTGCGGTTGTGTTTGCTGCTGTGGTTCTCCTTCTTCTTCTCCTCCTTCTTCTTAGCGGGTTTGCTAACATTGTCGTTTGCTCAACATTGTTGCTGTTGCCTCGCTGTCCTGTTGCTGTTAAGGGCATTGTTGTCTTGTCGGTTCGGTAGAAACGCACCAATTGGCACTGCAACACGCCACAAAATGCACAGAACCAAAAATATCTGACCTAAACCAAAACAAATTGCCAGGGAAATGCTGCGTGCTCATGCATGCCATCCCAATCCGAAAATGTTATTCATCGTTTAATATGTTGTCGTATTATGCTTTGATCATATGCTGCACGCGGCGCTGCTTGCGTTGCGCCCGTGCGACCGATCGTCCGCGATATGCTTTGATCATATGAATAATTTGAGAAATCGAAGCCAACCATAAGGCATCAGCGTCCAGATCTAAAGTCATGGAGAGTCTTGTCACGCTGTCTCTGCTCCTGGCAAGTTCCGCCGATGGCGCTACAAAAAACGAAAATGGTTTTTGCTCGTTAATAACGCAATTGACGCACCTTGTCACCATGTATGGCACTTGCAGATAAGCTTTGGTACCTGACCAAGCCAGGGCGATCTTGGGAAACACAAAGTGTAGTGCCGACTTGCTGACCAAACATCCGTTACTTACCATCTGTTGCTTTGTCTAAAGTGGCGCAGGAATTCTTTTAGCAGTCTTGCATCAACTCTCCCAGCACACCACAACGCAGTCCATTATGATGCCTTCTCGTATTTACTTTGATGCAAAGTCTAGAGCGCTAGCTACCCACTGGCGCACTGTAGCTCGCGGCAAAGTGAATCCGCGCCACGCTTTGTCCTGCTTTCAGCAACTGGAACGCTGTAACATTCCTAGCTCAACGCAGACAGCTGCTGGATCTCTCTCTCTCTCTCTCCTTCATTAAACAATTACATTACGAAGTAGAGGTAAGCAAGGTAAGTGCATGGTGCCCAAGGCACTCAGTAAAGACCAGGATCTTCTGCTCATCACCTGTGCCTGAGAAGGTAGGGTGAAAAGCAAAGAATGTTACTAGTGGCGTCCTTGCTACTAGTAGCGATGCCAGGAGCCTCTAGTAGCGTTCTTGCTCCTAGTAGTAAGGCCAGGAGCCCCTAGTAACTTCCTTGCTACTAGTAGCGATGCCCGGGTTCCTAGTAGCGATGCCAGGAGCACTGTGGATCCCAGCCCTTCATCCAGCTCATGAATCTATCCCGCTTGTCATACTCTCCGACAACCTGCGAGGATGACTACAAAAAGGAATGTGTGTTTTCTCATTTGTGATTGTAAACAAAATCCATGGCATTCTAGTTTCTGGGAGTGTGCCTTTTTTGAAACATAGAATGGATACCTGTGAGGTGCCCAAGAAACATCCTAAATCCGACAATTTTCCTGATTCCTCATCTAGAACCCTCGCATGCTGGCTTAAGTTACCCTGATCCATCCCCCTCTTGGTAGGGAGGGAACAAAATGTCAACTGCTTTGCGCCGCACATCCTTCACCGCCGGCCATCCCCAAACCTCGATCTGCTGTACAATCTGCGGGTTCAGGGACAACTCCTGGCATTTCTTCTTTCAGCAGATGAAAAAAAAATGAGTCAATAAATAGACACATCAAAGGTGCCTCTGTGCCAATGGTGAGCTTCACAGGATCCTGTGAAACATTCAGGATTGCAACCAAATCTGCCGGAGCATGCCGATAGTTCGTGTGGTTCCTCTCGACAGAAGTCCCTTGCCAGTCTTTGGATCTCTTTTGGCCAAGTTGCAGACCTTGAAAACTCGTAAGTCTGAATCTCACTGCATGCTTTTTTGAAAGGCGGGGAAGGCTGTGGAGAGTCTAGTAGCTTGAGTAGTAACTAGCAGTAACTAGCAAGTAGATACCAGGCTGGGACGCACAAAAGTTCAGGGACCTTGAAAGAAGTTCCCCCTGCCTGAGGGTGGGGGCAACTTAATTGAAGAACCTTCGTATGATTGATTGACGCTCCTATAGACTGTTTGGTAAATTTGACCTTATTTCAGCACATAAACTGCTGCAATTTGCCATCAAAGAAGTCAAAGCTCCGCAAGTTCCGCACCACATCAAAGTTTGTCTGTCCGGACGAATTTGGGACACAACCTGCAAAGTGCTTGGAGTCCGAAACCCGACAAACATGAATTCCACGTGCAATTGAACCTGCCATCCTAAAACAGTCAGGAAAAGATTGTCATGCGTGTAGACTGGTTTCAATTAGTGCAAGAACTTGTGCAAGAATGTTTTCTAAGGGACTTCAATCTTGAAACCCCTGACACCAACTAGTAGGAAGAATGAACCAGGAACATTTCATACATTGGACGAAAGGCCCTGTTTGTGGCGAACCATCGTTTCTTCAACAAAGAGTTTGTCGCATCGTGGTATTTGCGCAACATATGCCCGATAAATTCCACACCATCACTGTTCAGAATCCGCTGGTGGTGTCACAACATCGATCAGCACCCGTGTCAGCATCGACACAAAGTGTTCGGTCTTGAATGCCAAGGCGTGAGTTATATACGGCCACATCAACCGGAAAATTCCCTGTCAGCTGAGATTGCAGCAAAGCCGTTCATCACGAATACAAGTTCACTTCCGCTACTGAAAGACACTGCAAAGGGCAAAGGCACAGCAAGCCCCATCAGCCGCATCAGTCTCAACCATGTTTTGCGGCGCGCATTGCTTAGTAACATCATAGTTTCTGAAATGCTTGGAACTTGTGGTCCTATTACTGGTTTCTTGTGTTCCTTCTTGTCTTCCAGCATTTATTCAATTTCAAGAATTTCTCTCCAAATAAATGCTGGATATTGCTATCAAGAACTGTCCAGAAGCCCCAGATCCAAGAAGGGGCCCAGATGTCACCAGGAATCCATCCCGCCTATCGATCACTTAATAGCTTCTTGTTACTACTAGTAAGGCACTTGTTACTACTAGCGTGGCACTTGTTTATATAAAGGGATCCATCCCAGGGTGTTCGTTCTCTCTTTCTTATGTCCCTTCTTCATTATGTTCGTCCCCTTGCTTTTGTGCCTGATGAACACAATGGTGGACGATAATAAATCTGTTGGGTCATTCATTCTCCCATCTTGGCTGTTACCATTGTGACCCAACAGATTAACTCCTAGAGACAAATGGGCCCCTTCTTGGATCTGGGGCTGAGAGGGATGAATCAACCGACATGGTACCATCAGCATCCTTTTGTGAGCCGTTCACCTTCATGTCCCTTCTACACTTATAGAATGTTAAGAAGATAATGATCCACCATGAGTTACTTGACTTGTTTCATTGTAATTAATGGTGGAAGACACAAGAAACGAATAATGTCAGCATTTTCTAGTAAGAGATTTTGCTAAGAAAATGCTGAAAATAGATAAGACCAATTCTTTTTTGCCATAAAGTAAATCCCAAAGAAAAAATAAGAGGATAAGAGACAAGAAGTATACGATCATTCATGTGTCTTTCTTTTCCTCCTCTCTTTTTCATATAGGATAGGTGGGGTTCATCTGGCAAACAAAAGGAGAATGGTTTACCTTAAGGAATGAAACGAAGGAAAGAGACAAGGAAAACAAAAAAATGAATATAAAGGGATTTGTTATTCAATGTCGTTCATTTTTATTGGTGTCCTCCTCTTTTCTTGCATGCAAAAAAAGGAAAATGATGACAAGAAATCCCTGCCCTCGTTTACACGGTTAATCTGTGAATATTGAAACGAGTGCATATGTTTCTTTTATCTACAGACTTTTTGATTGAGAATGAAGAAACCAATGATCAATTAAAACACAAAAAGGTTGATATTATGTATTCACTCATTCTTTTGGTTAAGAGATTATGAACAACAGAATGAATGTAACCCACTGCCATCATCAAGTATTTTCACCTTGGTTTTTGGCAGTGGGTTCCTTCATCTTCATATCTTCTTACAGTTATTCGTCTATTTACTTCCTCCAAGTCTAAATAAGTGGACGAATGAATGTCCTTGTCTCTTATTCCCTTTAATGTTCATCAAATATTTTCAAAAATTTTAAAGGGGAATGTGAGTACGGATCGTTCCTACATGATATGTATTCTAGAATAAATATGAAGGGTCCTACATGCCAGGTCTTTGTCTGGGGATTCACCACCTGACCTTTTTGCAGGCAAGGGCAGGCGGTTAGAATCCAGACCTTAGGTTCATAGGCCCCAGATCCAAGAAGGGGAGTTAATCTGTTGGTCTCTTCTTACACCCTTCATCTTATGGCCCCTTTATGAAAATACCTGATAAAATTGCTGTGGAACTTCATAAAGGATAGGTGGTCAATTTCCTGTAGACAACTGTCTATCTTATCGTCGTATCTTGAAATTACACTATTATTAGCTTCTTATCTGTATCTTATGGATTCATTCGCGAAATTTACAGTGTGTTGGCAATCCCGGGTGACTTTCCTCTGAAGACATGAAGCCTTGAAGCCTTGAAACCCTGCTGACGCCCTGACGCCTTGAAGCCTTGACGCCGTGACGCCTTGAAGACCTGAAGCCTAGTGATGACCTGAAGCCTCTTCGTGTCTTCTTGTCTTCGTGTCTTCGCGCAAAAGTCACAACCCGCTTCTGCCAGCGCAATGATTTTTTATTTTTGTTGTATCTTTATCATATTAGTTCTTGCGGTTAACCGGCTATTGTAATCTCTGGAATCTATTGAAAAGGTGTAACGAGAGGACCAAAAGATGAAAGTGGTGAAGTGACCCACCAAAAAATAAGCTTGGATGTGGTAAGGCTGATAATGAAGAGGGATGATAGGGTTACCATGAATTTCAATCTATATCTTTTATAAAAATCGTAACATTCATATGCATTGTCTCCTTTTTTGGATTTAATCCTACAGCATTAATATGCTGTTATCTTATGAAAATTCTCTGAATTACTATTGGTTTTCATAAAGATAGATAGTTCTCATCCGTCTTTTGGTCGTTCCTTCCCCCAGTTTACCCGTTCCAAGCTATAAAATTAAAGGTAAAATATGCCCATTAATTTCATCTGAAGCGCTGGGACGAGACGCTACGACCATTCAGATTAACTCCTAGAGACAGCAGCGTGCAGAAATCGTGCATTCCCTTGAACCAAACCTCAACCTACTCAGATTTCTTGAATGCGCACTCTACCTGTTCCTGCACGCGGCCTGCAGTATCCGAAAATGTTGAGTCGAACAAACGACCACTTGGACGACTCAGAAGATGCCCTTCACCGAATCGCAGTGGGAGCGGGCCTTTCTGTATGGCCTGGCACGAACACGACCTGCATGTTGAGGGAAAAAGATACGCAGATCTCCACCTGCTTCCTACAACCGAAAGCGAAGTAGGTAGTCCTCCCTCAGCTCGCATGTGCGGCACAACTTTGCACGGCGGAATAGTCAAGCCAAAGCCTTCCAGGAGCTTCCTAATCATCTGCCAACCTAACCTAATAGTGATCGCCTCCAACCTAATAGCCATGGCCTCCAACCTGATAGCGTGCCAGTTCCCAATTCATCCATAGACACTGGCCCAGCAGCCTTTCACTGAGGCCAATGTGGATGAAAAAGGCACCGCAAACGTCGATGTTGCAGAGCGTACTGCGGTCTGTGGATTGCTCGGCCACACCAAGTGCCTCCAGTATCGAACTTCTCACGACCCCACCTCATCTGCCCTCCAGCCCAGGAAGCATGGTAGGACAAAAATGTAGAAAGGGCATGTCGCTTGCCCCAATTCATTGGACACTTGGGATTAAACGACAAGAAAGACCACCCTTTCCTTCCGAACCGACCGTTAAAGGATCACTAGCACGGCCTTTCTGGACATCGGTTTTACCCGGCCGCACATTCACGCTTCGTCACCGGTCCCCAGGAAGCTTCGGCTTTCGCTGATTTCGCCCAGGTGTAACAAGAAGCTACGAACGTAACAAGAAGCTACTAGTAGCAAAGGGCATCGCTACTAGTAGCAAGGACGCTACTAGGGGCTCCTGGCCTTACTACTAGGAGCAAGAAAGCTAGTAGTAACAAGGAGCTGCTTTCGCTTTTTATCCAAAAGAGCCTGCGGTGCGGTAGGTCTTCACGTTCACGTGACCACCGCAACTCACCTTCAAACAACCTCAATCAATCCTGCATTTATCCCAAAACCTGGGATTTTCCCCAGCAGTTCATCTCTTTTTGACTCTGGTGGAAAGGTTTGTCAGGGACTCCTTTCCCACTATTTTCGCACTATTTTCTCTACCTTGTCCCTCTTCCTTTCCAACATTTTCCCACGTTTCTGGCACAGTTTCCCACTTTCTGGGATAGCCCTGTGGGCTACAACCAAGAAGACTTAATAGCATGTAAAGCTCAACTCGAGCCAAACACCCAGTGCAATCCCACAGTGATTCAATTTGGACACCTGCAGGTTTTTGAGGTACATACGATACTGATGTCAGTGTTAAAGGAACACCCTTTGAAGCACAAGATGTAGTTCAAAGACAAGTGTTTAAGACCACAGTATATAGTTCTGGGGAGCCAAGGAGCAAGGCATTTCTTTGCAATCTGGCTGTGTTGCAACGAATACGGTAGCGACAGTAGATTCATCCGATGTTTTCACCAAGCTCTCGATGCACTCTACATATGAACTTATGAAGACTGAAGGAAAAGTAGGAAAAGCCTTCTCTGGCCTTCCGGATCTGTGGCTCAAAGCCCATGTCCAACATCCTGTCAGCCTTAGGCCAGCCGGACCAACACATTCGACAGAGTGGCGGTGCGGAAGGGCGCTGTGAAATCACATCGATTGAAAGCTGCTATGAACCCCTAGTGACTAGTGTGGCTGTACTGCTTGGTGAAAGCATGCAAGCCATGAGTGCACCATGAGACAAACCTGGACCTGCAGGCATGTAATGATTCCTTGGGCCATGACCTCATCCAAGTTCAAGTATGTCACACGCTTGAGGGTTGTTGTGCCAGACTGGAGTCAACTTGGCATATTTAGCAGTAGCGATGGCCTCCAATCTAGCGGCCTACAACCTACTAGCGATGGCCTCCAGCAAAGTCGGAAATGTTTGGCCTCGAGAAAGTCCAGCAATCGTCCCGGAGTAGCGATCAAGATCTCAACTCCTCGTCGCAGGTCTGAGGCCTGACATCGTTACAGGCAGACCAGACCGGCCTGGTGACTAGTTTTGCGCCAGCTTTCCGCAATGTGATTCCTGCTCGGCCTGACCATATCGTGGTACTCCTCCATAAACTGCTGTGGATCGTATTCTTGTCCCCTCAGTGAAGCGCATCACCTGAGGCGCTTGGCCACAAAAAGGTGTTGTGTCGTCACGGTGTTGAAAGCAGTCAGAGGTATATTCCAGACCCGCAAAACATCTCTTTATAGACTGGTGCACTCATCACACAAGGCTTCAAAAGAGTTGCAGCACGCGTCGAATAAATCTTCATAGGGCTCAGGATTTCTATTCCTAATGCTGTTTGGCGCTTAAACTCACACGCTCACATTGCTGGTCACTCAGACACAACAAATTGGATCAAAACCGGCGGAATGGCTGGAAGCTGCGATCAGGTTTTGGAGTCAGAGGTTCCAGGCTTCCAGGTGGAAGTACGATCAAAATCGGGTTCCAGAGCAGGTTTCCGACCAAGGCCTTCTATGAGAGAAACTCTGAAAAGCTTCCAGCTATCTGGGGAAGGGAATGCTATCTGCCTCATACTATTTCTATTAAGCGCCCATCACGAAGACATTGTGTACTTTGAAAGACGACCACGAGGCGCTGCTTCTGCCACGAGGTGAGATGAAGGATCTGAAAAACACTTTTAGAAGTGAGAAAAAACGAAAAAAAGAAAACAAGTAGCAACGAAACCAGGTGTACAAAGACCCACTGTCCATTCTTATTGAAACACACAGAAGCTGACATGAGCTGCAGGAAGGTCACTCATCTCATGGTCTTTCTAGTATCTAGAAGCTTCCTTGGGAATCGTTTCACCTGTAACAAGAAGCTTTTTAGGTCTTTGAAGCTTCTTAGTAATAAGAAGCTACTAGGTTGGACGCCATTACTGCTAGTATGTCATTGAAGCTTCTTAGTAAAGCTTTCTCAAAAACTCCGCACTGTGTCTGTTGAAGCCGACTAGACGAGTGTCTGTTTCCGTCTCACCAAGCGTGGAGTGTGGAGCGGTTCTTTTGTGTTCTCTTCCATGTTATATGTTTATCTACAGGTAAATAGATCAGGTTCTAGTCAATCTGAAAGGTTGTTGCAATCCCATTCTTGCAGCCAAAGAGTATGTTGTTTGAAGAAACGTGTTTTTCACTTTCATGGCACGGATTCATGTTTCAAGTCCAATGTATTGAATGCTGCGGATATCTCAAGAACGGAACTTACCCCTCATCTCACCTCACTCATCCCAAAATCTCAATTTCTACGGCTGAAACAAATGCGACATCAAAAATGTGTGTGTGTGTTTGTTTCATTGAAACTGAACACAAACGACAGCAATAAAATGAACTGTTTTGTGCATAAGCCATGGAGCCTCTGAGTGGATCTGCATAGCGAGTTCCCGTGTTGGCGCCAAGATCTTGGGAAATCAACAGGCGTCAACGTATCGAAATCAATGCAAAAGCTCAGGCAAAGACATCTACAATCCGCCCACCCCTTGTGCCAAGGGGTATTGTGCCCTTGAAGATTTGTTCACGCACTTGCTTGTTGTTTCTGGAGACACTTATCAATCATGATTTCAACGAATGGTGGTTGGTCTAAATTGTTGCCCATGGAATCCTGAAAGAGTTTCCTTGATTAATAGCGAAGATACAGGCACAAATCTTGAGCGAAACCCTATATGTCTATCACCGGCGGTGATACTTATTGGTCCCTTACCACACACTTACAGTAAACCGTTCTATGTAAAATCTGTTGGCCTGGTGTCTGTCTGTGGACGTCGCTCATATAGGCCACGGCCAACAAGAACATTTCCGACGGAACAAGAGGACTCTACGAACGTAACAAAAGGCATCGCTACGAATGGAGCAAGGACGCTGCCAGGGGCTCCTGGCCTTCCTGCTAGGAGCAAGAACGCTACTAGGGGCCCCTGGCCATACTACTAGTAACAAGAAGCTACTAGGAGCTCCTGGCGTTACTACTAGGAGCAAGAGCGCTACTAGGGGCTCCTGGCCTTACTACTGGGAGCAAGAACGCTACTAGGGGCTCCTGGCGTTACTACTAGGAGCAAGAACGCTACTAGGGGCTCTTGGCCCTACTGCTAGGAGCAAGAACGCTGGCTCCTGGCCTTACTACTGGGAGCAAGAACGCTGCTAGGGGTTCCTGCCTTGGAGCAAGAACGCTACTAGGGGCACGTGGCCTTACTACTGGGAGCAAGAACGCTACTAGGAGCTCCTGGCCCACTAGGGGCTCCTGGCCTTACTACTAGGAGCAAGAACGCTACTCGGAGCTCCTGGCCATACTACTG